CTCTCTCTCTCTCTCTCTCTCTCTCTCTCTCTCTCTCTCTCTCTCTCCTCCCATTGTCTCCTTTCTCCATTTCCTCGCGTCTTCCGTCCCTCTTTCATCTCTGAGTCTTTCCCTGTCTTTCTTCCTCTCCATCACATTCTCAATAATCCTCTTTCTCCTGCTGTACACCAACAACAATAGCCTGAGCCATTGAGCTGTGAGCAGGGATTTTTTGTCAGTGCTTTATTTACCCAGAGAGAGTTAACTGAGCGCCGCATCAGGTTTGCTCTGCCTTGACATCAATTCAGATCTCTATATATTTGCCAATAAGAAGGGACATTTGATATATTTTTCTACGTGTATTTAGGTTAATTCTTTTTTTAACAACAACATAAAGTAAGCCTATATTCAAATTTGAAACCCTACATTTGATTTAAATAATGTTAAGAAAATCTAGCCTGGGTTCCAACAATGTTTTTGTGGGACCAAGGCTGTAATAAATTATCTCTTCACCTCCGAATGAACAAAATCCTGAAGCTCAAAAACAGACGTCAGCGACTTGGTGCACCTGCAAATTGTTGCGTTTAAACTTGATGCGGTTCCGCTCTCATAACTCGCTTCCTTGCTTCCTTCCCTGTTTGCTCGCTGACGATGCTATGGAGGGTCGGGACATTGTTAACACCTATTGTACCTGGATTAAACAAATCATTGGAGATGCCACTGGAAAAGGTGTCACATGGTAGATACTATTTTAAATGAAAATGCCTGGATTGGCCCCGATCTTCATCCTTTAGATCAGCACGTGAAATCCTTAACCTGTGCAGCGCAGCAGTTGTTAGCGCAGCAGTTGTTAGCGCATTAGCAACGGACAGAAGACAGAAAGCAGGTTGAGAGGACATATGTGAGCTGCTGTGTTGCCTGTGGAGGACAGATGTTGGTGGCAACAACTAGTGATATGATATCATTGCTCACCGATGGCAACGCAAGCTTGTTTTCCCCAATTTGAACGACCAACGGCTTTTGAACTACAGTATGTGTGTTATGAAGTTTTTATTTCTTTGCTGCGTTCGTTGAATTGTTGCAGTTAAGATGATTATTAAACACCTCATCCAGAACTCCTAGCTTATGGCTGCACTCACTGTTTTAACACTTCATCTGGTTTTTATAACCGTGTCCAAAACCTTTTGTGAGTTCAGCTCTAAAAATCATTCAGGTTTTCTATTCGGACGTGTTGCACAAACGTGTTGCTGGCTCTCAATCTGTTGGATGTGGTTGTTTAAGACCCGTCTTTAAACCTATAATACATAAAATATGCAACGCACTGTTAATACAACAATCTCATGTTTATTTCTCCACTTTTCGACTCCTTTAAAACCATCCAGAGACAGAGGACGGTGTACAGACTGACGCTGGTGAAGGCCTGGAATGTGGAGGAGATGCAGTCTTACTCGGAGCTCATTGCTTTGGGCCAGCCGGACTTCATTGAGGTCAAGGTAGGGTTCAGACTTTATATCCCCTCGTGTTTTCTATTCCGCTCCCTCATTTGATGTCTTATTTATCAGTCATTTTCACATCGTCTTCATCCCGGCCGGCTTTACTTTTCTCTATTGCTCTCTCTGTTTTCATATGTTTTCAGTGCTGAGCTTTGATGTGTGTCTGGAGTAAACCCTCTGCAGAGCAAAGCCTTCCACAGTCACTCCTCATTAATGAGTTTTCATAAAACAAATGAGCCGGTAGCACTGGCTGCTTTTCACAGCAATAATCTGTGAGAGGAAATCTTATGACATTTCCCACCGCACATGCACTTAAATAAACCAAGCCATGACGATGATGTGAGGGGACTGCTCTTGTCTCAGAGATAAAGTGTTAATATATTCTCAACTGGAAGGAAATAAGTAGAATTGAATGAGAAACATTTGTATTGAGTTAGTTCAACCAATGAACAAACCGAAGTATTTCAAATAGAAGTGAGTCAGCATCTTCCTCGCTCGTCTCTCTGGCACTCCACCAATTTGTACATCAAGGGAAACTTGATATTCCAACTGAAAACTCAACTTTCTTCAGGTCATCCATCATTTCTAATTTTAGTTTCATCCAAAATGAAAGAGCCACAAAGGATCCTTTCAAACATCCCGAGTACTCTCACTAAGAGCCAGACAGACTTTTGTTCGTTATCTGAAGCTTTTTATTATTTAAACTTCTGCGTGTGAGCAAATTTATGTTTGTCTAACTGTATGAATCATTGATGTTGCCAGTAAATGCTGTGAGTGAGAGTAAGTTTCTGGTCGACAGAACTAACTTGATGACTTGTTGCTTTTACGGCTACTAAAAAAAAAAAGGTCCAGCATGAATATTCAGCGTTGTTGCAGAGGGATCGTTGTTGTGTTGGCTAAGTAGTTAGTAGCCCTCAGGCCAAAATGTACTGGCAGATAAGAAGCCACTGATCTCAGAACAACATCTACAGTTATTCTGCGCCAATAAACACCAACGCTGCTGTAATGACTGCACCCATGGGCTGGCCATGCTGGACTTGATTACTGTAACATCATGTATTCAGGTATTACCCTGATTCTGCCTCCATCGCCTTCAATTGGTCCAAAATGCTGCCGCTAGAATTCTCACCAGTTCAAGGAAACAAGATCATTTAACTCCAGTTTCGGCCTCCCTGCATTCACTGCCAGGTCCCTTTTGCATAGATTTTAAAAATAGTTTTGTTGGCCTTCAGGGCTTTAAATAGGCAGACCCCTAATTATATATGAAAGACCTATAACCCGTTATTAGCCAGCGTGCCCTCTGATGGTGATCAGGTGATCGTGGCTTTCTGAGCGTTTCAGAGCCCGACTGGTGTCTAAAGCACAGTTTATGTTCGCCGTAGAGAATCCGGCTCGAGGCTTGGCACCAGATGATGATGTAATCACGGCCTGCGCGTCAAGCGTGAAGGCTCGGCAAGTGATCGCGGCGCTCGGTTGTGCACCTCTGAATTTTTGTAACTTGGCGTACCAGAGCTTGTTGACACGTGACTGTCACAAATGGCTTACTGTTAAAAGCCATATTTACACGTCTACTCTAGGGATTACACAAAGAAGGCCAAATAGTTTATTAGGCGCTTTAGAAACAGGAGGTCTGAGTAAATATTCAGCAGCCAAATCAAATTGTAAACCTTTGTTTCTTTATAATGCATGTAATAATGACTTATTTCTTTACAGGGCTTGTATAAAGGCAATAAAGTAGTCCATGAATATGAGTTTACAGATCATTACAATCCCTCCTCGGCATTGTGGAGGTTGGTTTATGGCGTTTTGCTGGTTACGCGCAGTACATTTTGTTGTGCGACCTCTGGTGTCTCGGATAATAACGCAACGACCGGCGCGTAGAGCATAAACGCCTTTGTGTGTGCTCGTAGCTCGCACGCCGTCTGCCGAGGCTCGCCCTACGGCGCCTCGCTCGAGTATCGACAAAGCTTAACTGAATAGCCGCTTCCAATTTTGCGGATGTGTTGTTTGTGTTCAGGTAGCAATTGTAAATAGAATTCATAGAAAAAAGGGATTCATTAGTGTTTGGCACCCGTCTGTCATACCAGCTGGATCATCACGGAAATGTCCTGAAACAGGATCTCTAGAAGAGTGGGTGAGAGGGTTTGACCGTAACATCGTCTCATCCTAATCTTAATCGCTATCTACGGTCAGAATATCGACACTGACCCTTGACCTGACTTTGTTGTGTAGCTGCTTCACATCTGAAAATAAGCGACAGTGTTTGCCCTCTCTGCCTGGTGCGACTTCATGCGTTATGATTTCATCGTTTCTATCTATTCAATGTCACGGCTCTCCCCATACAAGGTCACCTGGGTTACAAGGTTATTTATTTTGTCATTGTACAACACGGTTGCACAACGACATTCAGAGTGTAGTCCTATTTTGCTACATAAGAAAAACACCAGAAAACCTTTATTATATGTGGAGGGTGAGTTCAGCAGTTCAGAGGAAAATAAGCTGTTTTGAAGTCTGGTGGTACAGCAGCTGATACTTGGTGCTGTAGTATGAATATGTACAGTATTTGTTTGTGGTGGGTCCAGCATGTTTTTTTTTTTAATAAATTTTTAATGAGCTTGTCCAAATGAGCGGTGAACATTAAGGGACTCAGCAGTGCGTGTCTGCCTCTATAGCTGCTACATCTGGTGCTTTCTGAACTTTGTAACTCTTTCTTTAGGGTGCTGTTCTTTATTATTGCACTTCTTCCCACATTTAAGTTCATCTTTTCTGTGAGCACAAAACAAAAATAATCAAACTAGGAACTTTTTGTTCTTTATTTTGATAATGTATTCTGCCTCCTCTTTGCTGTCGGGTGCGGTTTATCCTCTGTTCCCTTTAAACGGTGCCTAGACTCTGAATGAGGCCAGCACAATTCATGGTCTCCACCTCAGATAGCAGAGATAAGAGCGAGCCCTGACCTTTTGAAGTCAACTTAGGCTGGGATTCAGTTGATTTCTATTTTCATTCCACTGCGGGGGTGCAAGATAATTGGTTTGAACAGGTGATCTGCTCTTTCTCATCTTGCCTCCCCCCCCCCCAAAAGAGTTGTTCCGGTACCAGTATCAGAAAGGCCTCCGATACAGCCCGAAATGCTTGATCAGGTATCTGTGAGTATGCGAGTCTATGCACCGATCCTATACCATGTTATCCTCCTCATGTCACGCGGGAACAACAACCACAGCATGTGTCCGTACGGCCAGAGATGGGCAAAAATACATCAAAATGTATTTTGATACAAGATACCCCTCAAATAAATGTATTAAAATAAAATACAAAATACTGGTGCCAGAAAATGCAAAATACAATACATGTATTTTGTATTTTGTATTTAAAATATAGGAAATACTTTTTTCTGGATTTTCTGTTTTCTCACAATTTGGTATAGCAGAGCATTCAGGTTTGGGCTCTATAATGTACACAAAGCTCTGGTGAACCCCACAAACAGGAAGAACAGTCACAGAATGTCAGTGTAACTAAGCAAAGCTATTAAAAGACAACAACTTGATTGATTATGTATATATATATAT